GTCTAGTAAAACATACCCCTCATTCCACCGGTCTAGTAAAACATACATCCCATTCCACCGGTCTAGTAAAACATACATCCCATTCCACCGGTCTAGTAAAACATACATCCCATTCCACCGGTCTAGTAAAACATTCCTCTCATTCCACCGGTCTAGTAAAACATCAGCAAATAAGATATAAAAGATGCATTATGTATGATTTAGATAAAATGATTCCCGTTCTTATAATAATAGTTCAAAAATAGATAATGAAAATAGAATATGGTGAACATTTCAATCAAATTACTTCATTCTGAGCAAAATTATGACCATCATCAGAAAAAATCTCCCAATTATCCATTTTTTAATGAAATTATAAAATAGCGATCGTGTTTCAATCAAAACGATCCGTTTGTCCAGGGAGTTGATTATATACTTGTCATGTAAATACATTTCTAATTAATAATTTATATAACATCTGAGGCAACAGAAAGACCTGCACCAGGCAGAGTTAGCTCTTATATGATGTATCTTTAGTTGTATTACAGTATAAAATAAAAAAAATATGATCGACAAAATTGTTCTTTGGAATTAACAAAAGCAGACTGCCGTAAAATGGGGGAAATGCTTAAATCGCTTATTCTGTTGGTGCATTTCAGCATATTTCACTGTAAAGTATGGTGTAATAATATTATGGCATTGACTAATAATTGTTTATAGATTCATTTGTGACTAATGACTAACGTTTTTTATATGAATAAAAAAACCAGAACAGAACAAAACCCTGACCCTGAACTGTACTTATAATTTTAGTCACGGAAGTAAAGGCAACAACGTGATGTTTAAAGCGAGAATTTCATATTTTCTAAGACAGTCAAAACATAATTATTTCTATGTTGTTTGCTCAATATGTTGTCAACTCACTATTATACGATCATAGTTATAATTCCCACATTCAAAAATGTTTCACACCGAAAATAATAACACAGCATCGATTTTAAGGCTTTATTTTAATACACAAAAATATAACTTAAAAATATGAAATTGTAGCTTTGAAGATCGAATAGTAAGTACTACAATAAATGGTATTATCACATTCATACAGCAACTGTATATTTTACTGTAAAGTATAAATGTATTTTACCTCATTCATACAAAAACTGAATCCACACTCATGTATGTTAAGTATACATGCTGTTGATAGATTTGGTTTGATATCATTTCATCCGTTAAAATAATGAAAGATTGGCGAATATTAAAATTGTATTTTTTTATTATCTGTAATGTTTAACTCATGCCTAATTCAGGCTTATTTAACTATAAAGTATGGATTAAGCTGTTAAAAGAGTGTAAGAAAATCGAATTTTAACCACTCGAGCCATGAAAGTTCGGCATCTAAGGACATTAAAAAAAAGAGTTTTTGACGAGATTGTACACCAGACATAAAACTGAATGAAACAGGCGTGTTTCCTGATCCATCTTTACTGTTTATATCTAGTCCTAGATTAACTAGATATTGAACGATGTCTAACGTGCCGTTTTCACAAGCATGATGTAATATACCTCTATTATTATCATCCCTGTCATGAATATTACCTCCCTTTGACCTTAGTAATTCTATTTTTTCAATGGCCTGTGTTTCCGATTCAACGCAATACAAGATGCACGTACTGCCGAACCTCCCTTTAGTGTTTATATCCAACCCCAGATCTATCAGATGTTTTACAGTGTCTAATGTACCATCAGCACAGGCCAAGTGTAATATACCACTATTTGTGTCATCCCTATCATTAACATTACCCCCATTTAACCTTAGAATTTCTATTTTCTCGCTAGCTTGGGTTGTAGATAGGGAACAGGTCATGATACAAGTTCTACCATACTCGCCTCTGTTGTTGATGCGCAAACCTAGATCCATCAGATGTTTTACAGTATCTAATGTACCCGAAATACAAGCCAGGTGTAACATACCATTGTTATCAGTATCTCTATCATTAATATTACCTCCATTTGACCTTAATAATTCTATTTTCGCAATACTTTGTATTTTAGAAGTACTACACTGTAAGATACATGTTCTGCCTTTCAAACCTTTAGCGTTTATATAAAAACCAAGATCTATCAGATATCTTACAGTATCTAATGTGCCACAAGCACAAGCCAAGTGAAACATACCATTATTGTCGTCATCCCTATCATTAACATTACCACCCTTTGACCGTAAAAATTCTATTTTCTCAATGGCTTGTATTTTAGACTCACTACACAGTAAGATACACCTGTTACCTTTAACACCCTTAGTATTAATATCTAACCCTAGATCTAGCAGATATCTTACTGTATCTAATGTACCACTAGCACAAGCTATGAGTAATATACCATATTTTTTACCATCAATTTCATAAATATTACCACCCTTAAAACTTACTATTTTTATTTTCTCAATGGGTTGTATTACTGACGTACAGCAATGTAATATGGGTGTTCTAAAGTTCTTACATTTGGCGTTTACATCTAAACCAAGGTCTATCATATATCTGACAGTCTCTAGTGTACCCAACATACAAGCCAAGTGAAGCATATCATGGTTATCATCATCAGTATCATATATATTACCCCCCTTTGATATCAATAGTTCTATTTTCTCAATGGCCTGTGTTTCAGATTGACTACATAACAATATACATGTCCTTCCGTATCTCCCTTTAGTATTGATATCCAGGCCTTGATTAATTAGATATCTTACTGTATCTAGTGAACCACTATGACATGCTAAGTGTAACAAATTATCATTTTTTACATCTGTATCAAGAATATTGCCACCCATCTGTCCTAACAATTCTATTTTATCAGTAGCTTGTATTTTAGACTGACTACACGCCATTATACAAGATCTACTTTTATAACCTTTAGTGTTGATATCTAACCCTATATTTACAAGATACTGAACTGTTTCTAGCGTCCCTAAATCACAAGCCAAATGTAATATACCATTGTTTTCATCATCGATATCTTGAATATTACCTCCATTTGACCGTAAAAAGTCTATTTTTTCAATGGGTTCAATGGGTGATGTACTACAAAGTAAGATACATGTTCTACCATGTACGTCCTTACTGTTGACATCTGTACCCTGATCTATTAAATGTCTAACTTTGGCAACTGAACCATGTCTACAAGCTTCTAGTATCACATTCTTGTTACCAATCTGGTCATGGTAGTCTTTAAATGTTGACATGTGCACCATGGTCTTTCCGGGTGCTAATCGTTGTGGTATTTTAGTTGAAGAAGCTCCGTCGTCTTCTAGTAGCACTATATTTTGAAGTTGGTAGAAATCTTGAGAGTGGGTGCCTGGCCTGTTTATCCGTTCATCTGTTGTTCTCTTAGAGTCTATAAAGTAATATGAAAGAAATAAACAATATACTACCCATATATTTTCAGGTACAAATAATTATATCTTGGATCTTGATTTTATAAACGGAACAGAAAATATTGTTACAAAATATAAGCTATTATATTCTTAAAGAAAACATTGATATGTTTGAATTTTAGATTACCTTTCAAGGAAGCCATATTTCATTTGTTTGATGATCGTTTTGGTATGAAGTTATCAGGAAAACATACCATCGGCTGTAAAAATAAGTAAATTTAGATGTGGAATTAATGGAATAATAAAAAATTATGCCAAGAAGATGCCAAGTTTAATTGATTATGATAAAGTAATCGCCTCCGCAATGTATATGCTGCAATGAATGGTTCTAATAGAAATTATAAAATTTGGAAGACAAACAAAATTAGCTGTAATAAGATATATGTCTTTCCAATTTCAATATAAGCTGGGCATGGTGTTTGTCTGTAGTACTGGGTCCAGAGAACTGACCAAAGATTTGCCAGTCTGAGAAGAAATTTGGAAAATATATTGTGAAACTCTTGTGCATTGTAGTACCACACGTGGAGATGAGTTCAGATGAGGTGGTCTGAGCAGATAGTTTTGCACAAAAAAAAAATAAAAAAAAAAAATAATATGATTCAAAAATCTTGTGTAACTCTTGTGAAAATCACCACAGACCAAAAATCTTGTGGAATGCGGGGAGATAAGAGTGCCTATGACGAAATTGACAAGTTCCGCCAACCTGAATATCGATAGTGCTTATCCTGTCATGACGATAATGTTTCACAATAAATATGAAAAAAAATCCCTCAAACACTGTAGCATCTTTTGCGTCCACAGGACCTCCAATAAAGGGGGATAACTTTGAAAAGGAAAGCCGCCGAATGCTAAATATGGCTTGTCTTCTTTGCTTCAAAACAATTTGTAAATACCGGTAAAAGCCATAGCTTATATAGGGTTGACATGGTTACAATTTTTATTTGATTTTAAAAACCGTTCAAATCTATCACCATTACACTATAATTATAGTTCGAATTTCGTGAAAATGACTGCTCCCCATTACGCAAATAGTGTAAAAGAGGTCATTATTATTAACTGATTTTGAGTAAACAGTAATAACCCAAGGATCTTGGTTCCTGCCGATATTGTTGACCAATAGGATGTTACAATTATTATTTGATTTTAAATACCGTTCAAATGTATAACCATTACACTATAATATGGATGAGTTCCAATTTAGTGAAAATGAATGCTCCCCATTACGAAATAGTGTAAAATCATGTTATCGTGTAAATCATTGTGATATTTAGGACTTTCTATTCATGAATTATTCACCCATTACCGGATAATTTGATGAACCCAAAAGGTCAAGTTAAAAAAACGTGATTTTTCTTACAATCAAGGGCCATAATCCAAGACGTTACGGCCCCATATACGCCAGTATCGACAGGAATCGTTATCTCAGGGATATATATTTTAATAAAAATGGATTGTAACCTGTAGAATGTCCACAAATAAAATATGAATGAACGGACAGGGGCGACACGATGATACGTCAATTTAGCAAAGTATTAGCCGTAATAAGCTACACGTGTTTGCCATTTCAAAATAAACTGTGCATTGTGTTTACCTGTAGTGCTGGATGTAGCGAACTACATTATCAAAGGGTTGTCTGTGTAGCAAGATTAGTAGAATTGTTGTTCTTTAAACATGCATCAGCAGAGTCTGAGTGGAATGGGATTGAGAGAATGACTTTAGGGTAATATATTATGCACTGTATCCAGCTTGACATCAAAATGTAGAATTGAACTTTTGAATTGTGATTCCTGGTAAGACAAACGTCTTAAATAATGAGAAGATAAGAGTCTTAACTACTTAAATAAGAAGAAGAAAATACACAACATGAAAAGGAAACAAAGAAGACAATTACATATATTAGACGTACACAAGGCTATGTAGTAAGAAAAGAGTGCATGGGTCATTATTAGGATGTAGCGACCCGTTTTTAACGTTGGTCCGCTCTCCATATCTAACAGACGACCCACAGTGCTACACCTGTAGTGCTGGGTGTAGCGAACTACTTTATCCAAGGTTTGTCTGTAATGCTGGGGGAAGAGTACTGCATTATCAAAGGTTTGCCAAAATTGAATCACCTAATATCCTTTCAATCTTGTTGCTTCAACTATTGATTTGCGAAAAGTTTGTTCGTGTCGTTTAGTGTGAATCAAAAGTATTACCAACTAGCCTGATGGTCACTATACCTAAGATATCCCCTTAAACAAGGATTTGTGAGTCATTTCATTCTACTCGAAACAATGTTAATAAAATAAACTTATAAACCCCTACAAATAATATCCAATATTTCGACATACATAATAACACAAATTTAATACATGTCTTAGATAATCACATTACCATTAAATAACTTACCAGAACAACATTCAGTCGCCAGATAACATTAGTTACAGGAATGAGATGACTTACTAGTACAATATACTCAAATCATATCTTTATAATCATGTCTGTAGTGAAAGGCAGGTATAAATAACTATATAAATCTAAGTTCAAATTTGTACAACAATATCGCGAGCTTAAAAGATGTATTATACATTTGGAATCACGTGATATATTGAATACATCCATGTTATAAAAGATTTATTATTGACGACTTGTATACGACAATAATAACGTAATAAACACTACTAAACACCACCCTGTATATTGAAGGGTTGTCCAACATGCCATCGGTTGTATCGATATAAATAACTATATAAATCTAGGTTAAAATTTCTACAACAATATCTCGAACATAAAAGATGTATTATACAACCACCGCCATTTGGAATCACGTGATATATTGAATACATCCATGTTATAAAAGATGTATTATTGACGACCGTTGTATGACAATAATAACATAATAAAAACTACTAGACACAACACTGTACATTGAAGGGTTGCCCAACATGCCATCAGTTGTATCGACAAGTATATGTTTAGGTGGTTAGAATCCCCGTTAACAGATCATATTACAAGAGATTGGGTGTTCACAGATCATAAAGGTGCATATTGTAATAGAGAGAGAAATGGGGTTTAACGTCCACTCAACACAAACTAAGTCATTTCGGGAATAACTTACTGTTAAATTTTAATTCAATAATACGCTTGTGGGAGGATCCAGTGAAAACCTGGACAGACGACCCTACTCCTTGTCACGTTCAATGGGTTGGATAATCGAAACCACGCTATATGAATTATATATTAAAAGTATATAATACCAAGGTTGTGATCTTTAATGAAATTTTAAATGAAACTTGAAATTTATGTTTATAACCCAAAAATCTCGGTTCCTTTCGATATTCGTGCATATCGGACCATAACTTCGTGGATTATGGCCCCTGATTTTACAAAGCCAGCGGCTGCCAGGCAGGATACGCCCACATTTTGCAAGAGATGGATAGAGAACAAGCTAAAAACAAACAGGATTTTTTGTACAATCAGGGGCCATAATCCAGAAAGTGATGGTCTGAAATGCGCAAATATCAAAAGGGACTGAGATCTTTGGGATATAAATATATTTTTTTTTCATTTTCATCAGAATCGGATAAAAATTGTGACCTCTAGTGGGTCGAACACGTATTGCATACTTTTACACAATTTGCGTACAAAGAGCGGCCATTTTGTTGGACAGTGTCATTTCGATTTTCCCGAAATTTGAATTCAACCTTTATTATGATGGAATGGTGAAATATTTAAACGGTTTTTAAAATTGTAAAAAAAATGTGACCTCTAGAGAATCCGCAAGCTAAAAATGCCATTTTTCGAACAGTCAGGCTCCATAATCCAGGAAGTTTAGTTCGGGTATTCGTGATTATCAAAAGGATCCAAGATTTTAGTGTGTAATGGTGACATATTCACACCTTTTGTTTAAATCAGATAAAAATTGTGACCTCTACAGGTACCACAAGCTAAAATCGTGATTTTTTGTTCAATCAAGGGCCATAGAGATTAGCCGGTTGATTTGTTGGATATAAACCTTTGAATAATAGCGCCTACCAGGCAGCTGTGTTTAATTATGTTCTCCTGATTTTGATTGTTTTTGTGTGTTTGAAGTATATGTTTGTGATATGCGCTTAGAAACACTTCACGTGTAATGAAGCGCTATATAAATCGAACAATAATAATAATAATAATAATTCAGGACGTTACGATCCGATATGCGCGAATATCGACAGGAACCAAGATGTTTGGGTTATAAACTTACATTTCAAGTTTCATCCAAATCAGAAGAAAATTGTGACCCCAAGAGGGTCACAACATTGATCTACCATATTTTTACGGTAATTGTGTACGAAGGGGCAGCCTTTTGGTCTGATTTTCACGAAATTCGAACTCATCCAAAATTACAGTGTAACAGTGATATATTTGAACGTTTTTTTTTTTAAATCCGATAATAAGTGTGACATCTAGAGGGACCTCAAGCTAAAAACGCGATTTTTCGTATAATCAGGGGTCATAATTCAGGAAGTTACTATCCGATATGCGTGAATATCGAAAGGAACCAACATTTCAAGTTTCATCAAAGCGAGAGAGAAATGGGGTTTAACGTCCACTCGACACAAACTAGGTCATTTCGGGATTAACATATGGTTTAATTTTATTTACATAATTCGCTTGCGCGTAGGGGTCTTTAGCAGTGGGAGGAAACCTGAGGACCCGGAGAAAACCCACGAGGTTGAACAGGCGACCCTACTCCTTGCCACGTACAACCGGGGATTCGAAACCACGCCAGTCGACTCAATGACAGACTTTATGGTACAGCCATCCAACCCCCCAAGTTTCATCAAAAAAAAATTTGTGACCGCTAAAGGGTCCACAACATTGATATACCATATTTTTACGCTATTTGAATACGAGGGGCGGTTATTTTGTTTCTCAGTGTGTCTGTCGTGGTAAATTTCAACTGCTTTTTTAAAAATGGTATTACATACTTTTGTCCATTTTGTCCGGCAGTTTCGGTCAACTAACATTATGGTGTAACTGTGATATATTCGAACGTTTTTGATAGATCGGAAAATAGTTGTGACCTCTAGAGCTAAAAAGGCGACTTTTTCGTACACTCCCGGGCCATAATTCGGGAAGTTACGATCCGATATGCGCGATCGTTACTTTAACGAAATGTTCCTGGAGCAGCGACTGCGAGGTTTACAACACCTTGACGTTGCTAGATTGCTTTGCAACTCCCGAACTTATAGCTACGTTATCTCCCTTTATCACAGACACGTCCAATCAGAAGTTATGACACAACACACTCAAATCAAACATGGCAACCTCCACCTTGACATTAAACTAACCTTGAACTTTGCAACTTGATTATCACAGTTCGGCAGCGTAAGACATGGTATTCACGATGATCGAGGAATCTGATAGGCTCCCTAGCTGGGTCAGTACCCAATCGAAATGTTCATGGTAATCGAGATCAAATCTTCTATTTATAAGTTTGAAACATATAAATTATCTGTGTCCACATTGTTTGGAATAGTTATACGTATGTATAAGTGATGTACACACGTTGTATTTATCAGCTTTATATTTAAGATAACATGTGAAATGAAATGAAATGGGGTTTAACGTCCTACTGTTCTGTTTCGACTGGGCTAATGACAATGGGCTTACGTCATACAGTGTGCTGTGAGTGAAATTTTGCACTACGGTCTACTCTTATATCCATTTCCAACTGTCTAGTAAAACATACCTCTTATTCTACCGGTCTAGTAAAACATACCTTTCATTCCACCGGTCTAGTAAACATACCCCTCATTCCACCGGTCTAGTAAAACATATCTTTCATTCCACCGGTCTAGTAAAACATACCTTTCATTCCACCGGTCTAGTAAAACATACATCTTATTCCACCGGTCTAGTAAAACATACATATCATTCCACCGGTCTAGTAAAACATTTCACCGGTCTAGTAGTAAAACATACATATTATTCCACTGGTCTAGTAAAACATACCTTTCATTCCACCGGTCTAGTAAAACATACCTTTCATTCCACCGGTCTAGTAAAACATACCTTTCATTTCACCGGTCTAGTAAAACATACATCTCATTCCACCGGTCTAGTAAGACATACATCTCATTCCACCGGTCTAGTAAGACATACATCCCATTCCACCGGTCTAGTAAGACATACATCTCATTCCACCGGTCTAGTAAAACATACACCCCATTCCACCGGTCTAGTAAAACATACATCCCATTTCACCGGTCTAGTAAAACATTCCTCTCATTCCACCGGTCTAGTAAAACATACCCCTTATTCCACCGGTCTAGTAAAACATTTCACCGGTCTAGTAAAACATACATATCATTCCACCGGTCTAGTAAAACATACATCCCATTCCACCGGTCTAGTAAAACATTTCACCGGTCTAGTAAAACATACATCTCATTCCACCGGTCTAGTAAAACATACATCCCATTCCACCGGTCTAGTAAAACATACATCCCATTCCACCGGTCTAGTAAAACATACATCCCATTCCACCGGTCTAGTAAAACATTCCCCTCATTCCACCGGTCTAGTAAAACATCAGCAAATAAGATATAAAGGATGCATTATGTATGATTTAGATAAAATGATTCCCGTTCTTATAATAATAGTTCAAAAATAGATAATGAAAATAGAATATAGTGAACATTTCATTCAAATTACTTTATTCTGAGCAAAATTATGACCATCATCAGAAAAAATCTCCCAATTATCCATTTTTTAATGAAATTAATCCGTTTGTCCAGGGAGTTGATTATATACTTGTCATGTAAATAAATTTCTAATTAATAATTTATATAACATCTGAGGCAACAGAACGATCTGCACCAGGCAGAGTTAGCTCTTATATGATGTATCTTTAGTTGTATTACAGTATAAAATAAACAAATATGATCGACAAAATTGTTCTTTGGAATTAACAAAAGACGACTGCCGTAAAATGGGTGAAATGCTTAAATCGCTTATTCTGTTGGTGCATTTCAGCATATTTCACTGTAAAGTATGGTGTAATAATATTATGGCATTGAGTAATAATTGTTTATAGATTCATTTGTGACTAATGATTAACGTTTTTTATATGAATAAAAAAACAGAACAGAACAAAACCCTGACCCTGAACTGTACTTATAATTTTAGTCACGGAAGTAAAGGCAACAACGTGATGTTTTAAGCGAGAATTTCATATTTTCTAAGACAGTCAAAACATAATTATAATTTTAGTCACGGAAGTAAAGGCAACAACGTGATGTTTAAAGCGAGAATTTCATATTTTCTAAGACAGTCAAAACATAATTATTTCTATGTCGTTTGCTCAATAGGTTGTCAACTCACTATTATACGATCATAATTCCCACATTCAAAAATGTTTCACACCGAAAATAATAACACAATTACCTTCTAACTACCTCCCTTGATTTTCTATTCCCTACCATGGAATAGCTATCTCCAAACGTTTGAATTTGA